CCAAGAAATTGACGAATTTTTGTCGGGGTTTTTGGGATTTCCGATTTCTTAATGGCCTCAATCTTCGCAAGGTCTACATGAATTCCTTTTTCATTAACCACATGACCAAGAAATTGTACTTCACGAATCCAAAATTTGCATTTGGAGAATTTTTCATACAATTTCTGGTCCTTAAGTAGTTCTAATATCAATCTTAGATGTTGCTCATGATCCTTCTTGCTTCGTGATAAATTAGTATGTCATCTATGAAGACGATTACAAATTTATCCAGGTATGGTCTGCAAACAGTGTTCAATAGATCCATGAAAACAGCCGGGGCATTGGATAACCCGAATGGCATAACCAAAAATTCATAATGACCGTATCGGGTCCTAAATGCTGTTTTAGGGATGTCCTCTTCTCGAATTCTTAATTGATGATATTCGAATCGAAGGTCAATCTTTGAAAAGTATACGACACCTTGAAGTTGATCAAATAAATCATCGATCCTAGGAAGAGGGTATCGATTCTTTATAGTCAACTTATTAAGCTCCCTATAGTCAATGCACATCCGCATCGATCCATCTTTCTTCTTGACGAACAAAACTGGTGCACCCTATGGTGAAAAACTGGGTTCTACAAATCCTTTATCTAACATCTCTTGGAGTTGTCCCTACATTTCTTGCATTTTTTATGGGGCCAGTGGATATGGTGCTTTTGCTACTGGGGCAGCCCCAGGAATTAAGTCGATACCAAATTCGACTTGTCTAGGTGGGGGTAATCCTGGTATATCCTCGAGAAACACTTTAGGGAACTCCCGTACTACAGGGAAGCCTTCAATACTTCTCCCTTTAACCTTCTTATCTATAATGTGTGCCAAAAATGCAACATAGTTCTTCTTTAAGTATTTATGCATCTTCATGCATGATACTAACTTAATTTTCTGATCGAACTGCTCTCCTTGAATTATAAGTGCTTCTCCTCTTTCTTGGGGAATTCGGATAATCTTTTCTGAATAGACTATTTCAGCTCGATTTTTGGATAGCCAATCCATGCCTATAACTATATCAAAACTTCCTAGCTCAATTGGAATAAGATCTATGCTAAAATCTTTCTGAGCTAAGCTCAAAGTGCAGTCGATGATTATGTTGCTGGTCCTAACTACTTGACCATGGGCAAACTCTATTATATAACCTTCCTTCATCCTTTGCGATTTTAAATTGATCTTTGGCCTAAAGTCTAAAGATACAAACTTCTATCGGCTTCTGAGTCAATTAATACTGATGCAAATTCGTTATTTAGGAGAAATGTACCTATAACCACATTAGGATCATGCCTGGCCTCCCTTGCTCCAATTTCAAATGCTCTCCCCCGAGCTTGACTTTCTGAGTTTCCTTGATTGACTGGTCGGGCTTGATTAGCATTTGTTCCTTGCTTTCTCTTTGGACATACATTTCTCATATGATCTGGGCTCCCACATTCAAAACATAATCGCCTTTGACAATCTTTTGTGGAATGGCCCCCTCTGTGGCACCTTTGACAAATAATGCAATTTCCCTAATGCGGAAACTTACATTTATTGCACTTAAGCTTGCTTCCTTGATTTACCACTTTAGTCTGAACCCCAAAGTTTCCCACCGTCTTTCTCTTCTTGCCGATCCTATCTCCGAATCTTTGATTTCCCAGTTCTTATACCTTCGTTTTTCCTTTATGAAACTCTCCAAACCGGATTGCATTATTGGTGAGTTTGGTTGCAATGTCTATTGCCTCCTGAAGGGTCTTCGGGTTTGCCGAGGTAATATTTCCTTGGATTTCTAGAGATAATCCCCAGATATACCTCTCGATTAGTACTTCCTCAGGTGTCACCAAATGTGGCACTAAATTGGCTAACTCATGGAATCGAGTAGTGTATGCAGTTATGTTTTCTCCCTTCATTTCAAGATTCCATAACTCAAAAACCCTAAACCCCAAGGAAATTCATTTGCATGAATTTTTTCTCTCTCTACTTTCTCTCTCTAAAAATTTTCTCTCTAGCTTTTTCTAGTTTTTGGGTTGTTCTTTGTGTTTTTTGTTGCTTCTATGGATGATTTTTCTCTTTCTTTGGACGAATCAATGCATAGGAAAACAAGGAAAAATCGTGTTTATTCCATTCGTTACATGTACAAGAAAAATGGCCATCTTTTTAGATCGTCTCGTGTTGATCGTCTAAAGATTGCTTTAGAAAAAAGAAGAAATGGAGTTCTAGACAAGTGCAGTTTTCTTCCTTCCGGTCCAAGAAGTCCCTTGATCGCTAAAATTGCTGGTTTCATGCTTGGTAGCTAGGATCCTTCTGTGGAGGAGGAGTTGATGAAAAAAAACGGGAGCTCTTCTTGTAAGCTAAAAACCTCCAACCATCGTATACTCACTGCTCTTAGGAATGCTAAAGGTAGGACTGTTTCGTGTGGTAAATGTGTTACGGGTGAAGATGAAAAGGAGATTATGGCCTCCGTCCAAGATCTGGGCATCGTTACTTCTGCTCATACCTCCCAAGATGCGAGCATGTTCATCCTCGTTGAAGCTATATGTAAAAATGATGTAGTCCAGACCCATCGTGACAAGTTCTCTAGTCCTGCTATGGAGATTCATGAAGAGTGTCCCTCAAACTTACCTTGGCTCGCGGTTTCTGTCTCTTATAACAAGGAGAAGAGTGGGAGAATTTCTATTAAGTCTAATATGCATCATTCTAACGACCTGGCCTTTAGCCATCCTAAGTATATTGCTGAGAAAGAAATTATTTTCTCCCATATCGAAGCTGATCATGTTGATGGCTTGCATTCTCATTCCAAATCTGAAGCCTCAAGCTGCTCTCTATCGGCTCGGTCTACTACTCTTCCTCCATCGTCTTCGTTACCTGCAAGCTGCTCGGAGCGTGGCCAACCGTTAGTTTCTCCAACGGTCGAATTTTTGAATAGTCAACAGACTTCCCCTTCTACTCTTCTTTTTGGAAATATAGTGTGCTCAGAGAATAAGGATGATTTTTTGTCCTTTTTTAATTGCTATTCTCAAAAAGGTGATGGGTGGGTGAAGAAGTCGTAGGCTTTACAGCTGTGGAAAGGAAAAATATTAATTGCATGGCCGTCAACAGTGAAGAAGAGACTGAAAGGGGAAGGCGGGTGCAGGCAGGTTTAATGAATGATGGTACGGCTGAGTGCTTTAGAGATGATATCTTACTTTGTCCATTGGGTAAGAGATCTCAAAAGATTATTTTATTAGAAAAGGATAAGGGCTCTAGTCCTCTAGATGTGGACATTGGTCATATGGATATTGACCATAGTGTCCAGGTGTCCTCTTGTTTGGTTGAGTTTGAAGGCCCTCCTAATACTACTAGTTCTAACTCGACTGGAAATCCCATTTGCAACGAGCTGCTTGAGGATCCTTTGGATCTGGATGATGGGCCCCTTGGTTCTCATTTAATGGAGGTTTGCTTGGACCAGAGAAAGAAGTTAGACTCTAGTCCGGTTGAAGGAGAAGCCCATTTTTCTCCTAGCTATTTTATGGAGCCACATCATTCGGCTAATAGCCCTAATATTGGCCCAGTCTCTAGCCCAAAGCCGGATGCTAATTCCTCCTCTTCGCTGCTGGGCCCAAAGCCTCTAAACCCTGCTGTTGATTCTAGTCCGGCTCCTGCAGGCCATTCTCGTTCTAGCCCAAAACCTGTGCCTGGATTTTCTCAAACTGTTTTGCAAAGAGGCCCAAATCTTGCTACCTCTAATTGCATCCCAAAGAATCTAGTGGACTTTTCATTTGCTAACCAGGCCTCCATTCTTGGCCCAGCTCCTTCCAGCCCAGGTAAGTCTTCAAACTCTTCCCCCCTGTTGGTTCTAATAGTTGTCACTCTMCCCCCCCCCCACCCCTCACAAATTAATACTCACAATCTCAGCTTAAGTCTAGGCGTCTTAATTCCTCACCTAGTTCGCTTAAACTATTTCTCTGATACCAACTTGTAACACCCAAGATAAAAGATCAATTAAATCGAAAATATCTAACCAGTCTCGGAAACTTGAATTAAAATTTACCCAACAAAGTAGAAGTATAGCGATTACAAACAGAACTGAGAGGGTAATTAACAACCTATTAATCTAGATTATTCTAAATCCAGATTAGAGTYGGGTGTTTCTATCAATCTCCAAAAATATGCCGGAACTCCAAAAACACGGCGCTCAAAAGCAACAAAGGCTATACTACAAAAGAGCCTTTTAAGAACCGACGCTCCTCTCAACCCTTTTGAACCCCGTCGCTAAAGAACCTGATAAACAAGTCACATCAAGAAAAAGTGTTAGGCTTACGCCTAGTGAGTCCAACCAAAATAATCAAACTAAATAACCATCAGGAGTGTGTGTGCATATAAATATATATATATATATATATATATATATATATACGAAACGTAACCATGAACGATACAAAATGTACACTATGCTCCAAAAGAGTCTCGAGGTGGGGCTAAAACATCCGAAGATGACGGGGGAGACCCGATTTACCGCTAATCATGATGGAACACAAAGTAAGTCATGGATCAACGTTATAGAGCATCACTTATCGGTATAAAACCTTCGACATCAACCTAAACCAGTCATGTAGTCGGTCGTGATCATAAGCTCTTTATCTCGGAAATTACATAATAATCACAATGCCTATTTCCGAGTGGAAGTGAGAGGATGATTTGGAAATTACATAATAATCACAATGCCTATTTCCGAGTGGAAGTGAGAGGATGATTTGGAAGTTACATAATAATCACAATGCCTATTTCCAACTTATACCATCCCTCACAAAACAAGTAAAACGACAATGCACCTCTTGGTTCAATGCAATCCGGTACGGTACTTAATTACGGTGCCAAAAACACCTTAGTGTTCACTTATCCGGACGATTCCGGGTATATCCTAGCTCAAGTGCGATAACCCCTACTTGCCAATAAAAACTCCAAAATAAGGGTATGAGTGTTTTAGAGCTAAACGACCATAAACTACGGTACTTAATTACTGTTGTTTTGCTGCTGTTTTGTTGCTGTTTTTGCTACTGTTTTGCTGCTGTTTTGTTGCTGTTTTTGCTGCTGTTTTTGCTGTTGTTTTGCTGCTGTTTTTGCTGCTGTTTTGCTGCTGTTTTGTTGCTGTNCTGTTTTGCTGCTGTTTTGTTGCTGTTTTTGCTGCTGTTTTTGCTGTTGTTTTGCTGCTGTTTTTGCTGCTGTTTTGCTGCTGTTTTGTTGCTGTTTTTGCTGCTGTTTTGCTGTTGTTTTGTTGCTGTTTTTGCTGCTGTTTTTGTTGCTGTTTTGCTGCTGTTTTATTGCTATTTTTGCTGCTGTTTTTGCTGCTGTTTTGCTGCTGTTTTTGTTGCTGTTTTGTTGCTGTTTTTGCTGCTGTTTTTGCTACTGTTTTGCTGCTGTTTTGTTGCTGGACGAGGAACAACGGAAACGCAGGCAGCCTAGCTGCTGCTGTTGGTGCCGAGAAACAACGGGAAGCAGGCAGCCTAGCTGCTGCTGCTGGTGCCGAGAAACAACAGAAAACAGGCAGCCTTTGCTGCTGCTGTTGGTGCCGAGAAACAACGGAAAGCAGGCAGCCTTTGCTGCTGCTGTTGGTCGTAGTTCCAACGATGATGGGTTGTTTCTCTATTCCTCCAAACAGCCGGCTCCAAGTGTGGTGGGGTTCTCGATTTCCAGCCGAGAAATGGTGTCCCCCTTTTCTTCTTCCTCCCTTCTTCCTTTCCTTTCTCCTTTCCTTTCCCCTTTCACTGCTACCCCCTTCCTAAAAAATAGATTCTCAYTTCACACTTTACATGGAGGTCAAGATCCTCCATGTAAAAGGGAAGACTTCTAGAGAAAAGGGGGTGAGGCATAGAGTAGGTTAAAGTTGCAGTACCCCCCTCCACTAATTTCTTAATTTTAAACAATTCTCCCAAGAATTCAGAAGGGGCACACTTCCCTAAAATAGCCTTATATAAAAACTACATATATATATATAATATATATATATATACATATATTCCTATATACTTCACAAAGAAGGATTTTCATAAAAAAAATAAAGTGTTTTTTGACAAGGAATAAATAAATGAAGACGCAAACCTTAAAAATTAAAGGGAAGGATTTCAGGTGCGAAAACCTTGACGTGCACGGAACAAATATTTTGAGAAAATCTCGAGTGTTACACTAATGCTCATAAATTGCATGATTTAAAATCTAAAAAAGACCAATACTCCTCTCCCTTTTATGTTAATTCTAGTTTATTTAAAGATAAGGACATTGCTTTTAATGCTCCTTCCTCTCCGCTTAATCTCAATGCTCAAAATGATGGTAAGACTAGTTTTAAATCTAAGACCGTTTGGAACGGTAATAATTCTACTATCCTCCCTAACTCCTATGCTCATGTGATTAGTGGGTCTAAAAAACATGCTAATGAAAATTTTCGTTTTATCCCTAACCTAAATGAAAATGTTAACTCCCCTATAGATATTCCTGTTTCGGTTGTCAAAAAAAGCTGTGAAACGTATGCTAAAACTTTATGTGGCTATTTTGTTGGTAAACGACTCCCATTCCCGGTGGTTCGTTTTTATGCCTCTAAATTGTGGTCCCAATATGGCATTGAGGATGTCCTCTTAAATGGCCATGGGATTTTCTTGTTTAAATTCAGTTCTACTGATGGTATTCAAAAGGTTATTGACAATGGCCCGTGGACTTTGAAAAATGTTCCTATTTTCATTCAAAACTGGAGGCCGGGGCTAAATTTGAACTCTAATTTGCATGATAAAATTCCTCTATGGGTTCGTATTCATGATATACCGTATGATGCGTGGAACGATGAGGGTCTCAGTCATATTGCCAGTAAGATAGGTATACCTCTTGCTATGGACTCGTGGACGGCTAATATGTGCAAATATGCGGCCGGTAAATCGGCTTTTGCTCGGGTCCTTCTTGAGGTGCCTGTTAGGGACAGTTGGATTGAGGAGGTTAAAGTTCGTATCCCGGACCCGGATACTCTTTCTATGACAATGTATGCTCTTCGTGTTGAATATGAATGGAAACACCCTATGTGCACTGAGTGTCATATTTTTGGTCATTCTACTTCTTGTTTGAATGCTATATCAAAATCTGATACTAATGTGGCTTCTACAAATGAGCAATCCATTTCTGGCAAGAAAATTATGATAAATAGCGAAGGTTTTCAGACCCATGTTCTCAAGCAAAGCTAAAAACCTAAGGCAACGATGCCCATAGTGAGGAAGGAGTACAAGAAAAAGGAGACCCACCTGCCTACTTCGAACGGGAAGCAAGTGGGTGCAAAGATGAAAGAAAAGATGGCGGCCCCCC